GGTGGTCTTGGTGGTGATTGTGGCGGTCTAGGCGGTGTTGGTGGTGCTCTTGGTGGTCTTGGTGGTCCTGGTGGCTTTGGGTCCGGTGGTCCTGGTGATTGTGGCAGTCTACTCTTGGTGGTCCTCGTGGTCTTGGTGGTGCAAGTAAGTGGTCCAGGCGGCCCTGGTGGTTTTGATTTGGTGGTGTGGCACCTCCCCATACAACCTGCAGCCCTGAAAGTAGTAAGAGTCCTTGATGAGTTCTACTTCCTGTGAGAGTGTTTGAAAAGCTAGATCGACCTAGTTGCTGGGCAGAAAGCATCAAGTTATTTCTCTACAAAAATCGGGTTCTGTAGGTGCCAAAAACTGCCTCGTTACAACATGGCCTCTCTGTAAGGGCCTCAATCCCTTTTCGTAAAAGAAATGTCAACAGGGATTACATTTTATATATACGGGGAGAACAATAATTTTTTACTACCTCCGGGGCCGATTGCTCTGGCCCGGTCAGACCCTTTAAATATACGGTGGGAACAGGTATTTTATACTACCTCCGGAGCCGATTGCTCTGGCCAGGCCACCATATATTTAAAAAGCGTTACCGTAAGATATTGGAAGACTTTGGCGACTTTGGCTGAGCATCCGAACTTCCTCCAGTAAAGCACAAAGAGATGCAATCGACGGCCCCGAGCCAGCTTCCTGGCCAGTCTTGAAACGCACTAAGGTAGGTTCAAGCATAGTCAAATGTTGGCTGTTGATGTGTGTTAGAGATCCTGAGGCCTTCATTCTTATGACTCATATATATAACTGCGCTTTGCTGTCCCTTGCTGGCCCACCATGACACAACGTTCTTCCTTGCACACAACAAAGCTGCACATACAAAGTCTCCACTCGAAGCCATCCCCTGCGCCTTGGTCTCTGCACAAAGCACCAAATGCGCCAAACGAGGATGCAACGGAAGCCTGGTCACTTGAGGCCTCTGTCTCGCCAGCTGACTACATGGCTGATGCAAATGAAGGGCAGCAGTGGAATTCATCTGCTCAAGAACAATGTTGTGTCTGCTAGCCAACTCCATTGTGTAGACCGTCAGCAAACTTGTCAAGCCGATCCAAATTCATGTTGACCAGATTGTTCACAAACGCAAGTTGGCCTCTGCTGCTTGTGAACAACGTGAATTGGGTACCACCATGCCAAACAAAAGTCAGATTAGGCAATCACAACCGAGGGACACGATGGATGGCCTTGCGTTTCACCGGCTCACCTACAATGTTCGCGTCACCCAAACCGAGCGATACACACCCTGCGCCCTGTGGGATCTCGGTGCCCTGTGGGGTCTTCGAATGTTCCGCATGCGCCTCGCCATTTGTCGGCCATGAGCGGTGAGTTCCTGCGGACGATGCACACATCTTCGTAGACTTCAGGCACAAGGACGCTCTTCTTGGGGATTGCACTCCTCAAGGGTGGTGCCCAAAATAGGCATCAAGTGAAACACAAACCACTTGAACCTATGTTGATAGAAATTGAAATTGCAATCAACCTGGACCAGGAGTAGATAGCGTTATCAAAAGGCTGCATGACAAATCTCAATATGTGTGGTAAACTGGTAAATACCAAATGATGTTTTTACATGTGTTTACAGTAAAATGGATATTCACGCCCTCAAAAGGCCCAAAAGGTTCTCCTCCATCAAACATTGTCCGTATGTTGCAGTCGATTTCTCCAGGAACTCCACGGCAAGCGCCGCTCTAGGGCATCGTGGCAATTAAACTAAACCGTTGGCACCTACCGTTTTGCTTATCCCCTGCTATCCCTCACGTCGCCTGATATCCCTCGAAGGCCTTCCCTCAAATTCACTTGTCATGTTGTCAAATAATTTCAAATAATCGTCATGACAAAGTGCTTGGTCCCCACCGGCGCGGTCGCTCGGAAAGTCGGAAAAAACGTCCTGCCCCTCCAGAGCGCCCAGCAAAGTCAATACCTGGACGGTCGGATTTTTGTTTGTGCGTTTATAAGAAACATATGATCTGGGAGTCCAAGACCAGAAGTGGACTCCGTGACCCGATGTTGGGAATGTTCTTTTCTTCAGTGGTGCCCACAAAGTCTTTGGACTTCTAGATTCTAGGGATTTCTAGGGCATGGATTGAAAATTAGGGTGAGGAGTGCTGGAGTCCTACCACCCATTTTGCAGAGGATATGTTCGACCATATTTTAAAAACAATGGGTTTGATAGTAGCGTATTAAACCCAGTCTGGGGAGAAAAAACGATCTCTATATATATATATATCCACCCAGAAAGTTACATCCGTCTGAATCGGGTAATTTCTCCACCGCACTCGTAACCGATTGGAACCTGCAACAAATTAATGCATGTGATATTCAAGGGATCCAAGCAGCAGTTATTTCAATTGGTCGGCGGATCCCACGAATCTCTCCACGGTTACCGATGCAAAAGTCCTTGAACAAAGAGGGATTCTCATAGACTATGAGAGCCATTCTTTGCTCAAGGATGTTTTGCATCCTAGTCAGTACTCTGAAGAGTAACCCCTGCAAAATCTCCTGAAACCTTGCAAACAACCCGAGTGGTCAGCAAGTCTCTGCAACGATTGCTACATTTGATGTTGTTCAAACAGGGCCGCAATGACGGTTCCACAAAGAGACACTTGGAAGTATGCTCGTAAGAGCAAAGTGCGGTGAAAGTCTGAAACTAGCCATTGCCTTTACTGCATTAGCTCTTTAGTGCGCAACAACCTATATATATATATGAAACGGCTGCTGGAAGATTACTACGTAGATTCACCAAAGCTTAAGAAGGAACTTGTTCTCCAGCTGCGACTTTAATGCCCCTCAACATCGAGCAGGTACGTTGGCAGCACCACACAACCAGGCTCTTTGCTGGCTACTCCATGGTGCTGGGTGGAGAGACTCCCTGCAGTTCTTGTATAAAATATTGAATTCAACAACCTGAAGTTGAGAGTGCACAAGCTCCATGAAAGTAACGCTTAAGAACAGGGTGTAACACACACACACACCCACCCACCAATGGACCAACACATTTGTTTAAAGCTGATTAAAGCACACACAAAGGCATCTCATCGGGTAAAACATGGTGAAACTCCATGTGACCGTATAAAAGAACGTACAGATACGTACAGTATATATCTGAGTGAATTAAACTAATTTCATTAATTTCGTTCACCTCGTACCTCGTCTTAATTCAATGTTTTGAAATTATTCACCTCGCCTCGTTTAATTTGAATAATTTCAATCACCTCGTCTGCCTGCCTGCCTGCTTGCCTGGCTCCTGGCAGGCTGGCTGGGTGGGCTGTCTGTCTGTCTCTCTGTCTGTCTGTCTATCTGTCTTCTTGACCCCTGGCTGATCGGGGGTTGCTTGTGCTTGGCTGGCACCTGCACCGAGTGAGCGGGTGGGTGGCTCCAAAGCCTTTGAAAAAAGTGTTCTCTTGAGGGGGGCTGGTCTATGTTCAATTGAGCGGAAACCAATCCACAGTCGTGAAACCCTATCAAAATAGGGCTGTTTCATGGGGCTTGCCTACTTGAGCTGCTCAGCACAGTTTCCATGCCTCGTGGGGCTGGCTAGGGCCCCAGACAACATCAACAAGGCCGCAAACCAATCCACAGTCGTGAACCCCCATTTCGCAAAAATAGGGCTGTTTCATGGGGCTTGCCTATTTGAGCTGTTCAGCACAGTTTCCATGCCTAGTGGGGCTGGCTAGGGCCCGAGACAACATCAACAAGGCCGCAAACCAATCCACAGTCCTGAAACCCTATTTCGCCGAAGTAGGGTTGTTTCATGGGGCTTGCCTGTTTCAGCTGCTCAGTACAGTTTCCATGGGCTGGCTAGGGCCCGAGACAACATCAACCAACCCGCAAACCAATCCACAGTCGTGAAACCCTATTTCGCCGAAATAGGGTCGTTTCAGGGGGCTTGCCTTTTAGAGCTGCTCGGCTCAGGATCCTTACTTACTAGGCTTTGGTAGGCCGGGAAACCAGGCCAAAACGGTAGCGAGCCAATCAACCGTTGTGAAACCCAATTTTTGCCCAAAAGGGTTTGTTTTAAAGCCTCTAATTAGTGACCCAATCTAATAAATCAACGCGCCAGCGGCCTAGTTGGATACACTCCGGTCTTCGAAGCACAACCCTCAAGCTCGACCCCTACCTCTGAAAGCTTTGGAAGCTTTTTCTCTTTTCCCACGAGTGCGTGTGCGCGCGCATGTGTGCGTTGTGCGCGGGTCAGGAGTGCTTAAGTGAGAAGAGCGTTTCCTTACCGACCGATCCATGATCATGACACTCTATTTCGCCAAAGTCGGAATTTTTCATGGCACTTTCCCATTTGAGCTGCTCAGCATGGTCTCCTGACCTAGTGGGGCTGGCTAGGGCCCGAGACAACATCAACAAGGGTGGAAACCAATCCACAGTCCTGAAACCCTATTTCGCCAAAATAGGGCTTTTTCATGGGGCTTGCCTACTTGAGCTGTTCAGCACAGTTTCCTGACCTAGTGGGGCTGGCTAGGGCCCAAAACAACATCAACAAGGCCGCAAACCAATCCACAGTCCTGAAACCCTATTTCGCCGAAATAGGGTTGTTTCATGGGGCTTGCCTATTTGAGCTGTTCAGCACAGTTTCCTGACCTAGTGGGGCTGGCTAGGGCTTAAGACAACATCAACAAGGCTGCAAACCAATCCCCAATCGTGAAATCCTATTTCGCCAAAATAGGGAATAGGGCTGTTTCTTGGGGCTTGACTATTTGAGCTGCTCAGCATACGTTCCTTACCCAGTAGGCCTGGCTAGGGCCTGAGACGTCAAGAAGGCTGCTTGGCTTGATGGAGTCTGGAGTCCTGGTGCTGGACTTACCTCGCATAATTTCGTTTTGAAATTACTCTACCTCGTACCTCGCCAAGTGAGCTCGCAATAATTCGCTCAGATATATCTCGCGTGGTGAGTTCTCCATACATGCTCCCTTCATTCTGCCTCTTCCGCATGGTTGACGGAAGCTTTGGGCGGGCAGTCCTTGGTCTGAGTCGGCGCTCATGAGCCCTACATCTGTTCTCCTCATGTCACTCACGTCTACATATATTGTTGTTTCTACAAATATGTTTGTGTTTTTGTTGCTGTTTCTTGGAGTGCATCATTTGGAGGAGGCATTGGAGGAGGGATTCAGGACAAGCAAACGAAGCACTCTCGAGTCCGACAAACTCAATCGCTTGGACTTCCCATCCTCAAAGGGCGAAGGAGAAACGGCGATTCAACATCTCCTAAGAGTCTAAAGGACATTAAAGTACCGAATGCAAACCCTATATGTTTGTTAGTTTCTTTTTCCATGGGAGTACTGTCAAAGACTGTTCATCAAATCCGACCAAACCGTCACGTTCCCGACCTGGGAATGACGTTTCTGGCGAAGCAAATGGAACGTCCCGTGACCCGTGCGTGTACTTCTCAGAGGCTGCAAGGCACTTATACCATCTTCTACCAAATTGTGACAGCTTTTGCCATCAACCACTTCTTTTTGGGTGAAAGTAGTTGCTCCGTGCCCAAACGTGTGCTGAGACCAGGAATCTTTCAAACGCGAGTATTTCAAGCAATGAGGCACACGAGTATGAACAGGTGGTACACCCTACATGAAGTAGCACAACTTCTCAGCGTTATGGTGCTTCTGTTTGCAGCCCAATGCCATTGGATTTGTTTGTAAATTAAAGCTCCGACAAAAATCTGTCAGGCTTGTCTGGCCAGCCTCATCGCGAATTTGCCGTTCTGCTCACACCACTGTATAGCGTCCGATCGCTCCGTTCGTAGCCGAATGCCCAAAATGTCACGTTCATAGCGTCCTCTTGTTACTAGTAGTACGGCCAGGAGTGCCCCTAGTAGCGATTCCCCTGCTCTAAAAAAGGAAGAAAAACAACTGCTACTTCTGTCGCATGTCGCCCAAACCGACACCGCATCCAGGCTGGGCACCAGCCACGGTAACTCGGAGATCCCTTGCAACGGCACCTGGGTTCCCATGGCCAATGAGGGAAAGATCCATTCTCTGAACCCCTCTGCACCGGTCGATTTCGAGGGTCCAGTCATGCACCACCTACACTGCACCACCGAATTCTTGGATATGAAAACCCAGGATTTGCAACCCCTGCAACTGAAGACCAAAGTTGACCACGCCACGAGGTCACCAGGTGTTTTATAGCTCCATGGGGCCCATCGGTCTGAGAAATGGGCCAGCACCAAAGTGACTCACCAAAACAAAGGTATAGTAGCGATGGCCTCCATCCTGATGACATCCACCCTAGTAGTGATGGCCTCCAACCTAGTAGCGATGGTGATAGTGGCGGATTCGGATCATCCGAAGCCTGCCTTCTTCATCTCCTTCGCCCTGCAAACAAACGTTCCTAATATGGCTCGCAGTCCACATCAACTGGCAGTTGCCCGAAAGGACACTGCCAGGCTTAATGTGCAATGCTCCAGTCTCTGGAGCGCTTGGTGGCTTATGTCCTCCCAATCCCTATTTTCATCCTCTGCCACTCAGGGCACGCCAGTGCTCAGCAGCTGCAAAATGGCACCGGTCAGGTCCTCTTCCCCGATGGCAGGAACCTGAAGACGGGCGTCCGCTTTCGGTGATGGGAGTGCCCCAAGAGAGCGCTCAAGAGCTGAAGCACCCAGAGGTTTGGAGGAGTTTGGGTCGGCCATAGAATGATCCTGCTGTTGTTTCAAACGGAAACCGCACGCAAGCTCTGCGCGTGCAAAGACAGATTTTCCTCGCTCCCCGACTCCGCTGTATAGGATGCAGGCAACTAGTATATTAGCTCCAAAATGTCTTCGAGCGCTCTGGAGGACATGGTCGAAGTGACGTGCAAACACTTCAAGGCTTCTTGTAAAAGGTCACCGGCATGGAGATGCAAATGGAGGAACATCTGAAAGCCTTTGACCAAACACATTTACGTCCTTCTCCAATTGCAAAACGCACAAATAGTCGGGAAAAAACCTCCAATGTTGCAGTAGGCCCTTGAAACCAGGCTTCAGTATCTAGAGAACTTGTTGACTGGATGTTCATATTGAACACTATCCATGTTAAAAGCACTATAACTTCAGGTTCCTAAGCCTAAGTCCAATATTATCTGAGCAGCATTTCTACTTTTTTACGCTGAGCGACATCCTCCGGCACCAACTTTTGGCCTTTGGCCCACAAACGAAGACCTCGGTGAACACCAGGGCGGCTGGGGGGTGGGCGAGAAGGCGCAAGCAGTTGGTGAAGGAGGAAAACTTTGTGTGTTCTTCAAGTGGTGGATGTAGGGTGAAAACATAGAAATGAAAACCAAGCAACCTGTTCACTTTTCATCCTCTCCTTTGGAACGACTTCTGGCAAATCATGGACAGAGATGTCTTCTGGGTCACCAAGAAGAAGCTGGCTTCTATGTGGCACAACAAAAGCAAGTAATACAGACCCAAGCCATCCATGGGACTGGCATGTTTACACATGGACCCCTTCTCAACCACCCCGACCCCAATGGATCGATAAATATGCCAGTCCGATGGATGGTCTGGGAGAGAGGCCCTTCGGTCCAGGCCGCACAGGCCATCTCTCACGCGGCCTGGCCGAAATCGCCGATGGCAGCTGCGAAAGAACCGGCGTTGGTTGGGAAATCCAACGAAGTTCCGCGCAACTTCCGGGGGTTTTTCGTCATCGGGCGGGAAGGTTGCAAAGTTAGGCTCAGAAGACTCAGAAATCGTTTTCGTGACTGGAGGAGTCCTGGGGACGGACAGCTGACTGCGGTCATTGCAGGCCTCTGCCTCTACTGCGTTCCAGTCATCTTACATCCAAGACGTGAACCACTAGGACTACGACGATCAGTCCAGCTGGTATGGATGGGATTCAAAAATTACCAAAAATATCTGTTGAATGGGGCAAACACTTCACTCCACAGCGCCAACTTCACTCCACAGCAACCGACAGCTCCTACCTGCACGCCCTCGCCGCTGGTCCGCCGAAGCAGCTGAGACGGCAGCCTTGGCGCTGCAGTCGACGGCAGCTTGAAATACTCCTGGGTGTTGATTTCCCTCTGGATCCCCCAAACCCCATGAGTTTGGTGGATTGTTTGTTTCTGATGTTGCTTCCATTGTGTTGCTGCTGTGTGTTCATTGATTCCTTGTTGATGTTCAAGTGGTATCCCACGGATTTGTTGTTTTTTAATACAGTAATACTTTTAAATGATGGCTTTCCTTTGACAAATGCTAAACCTAAAACGATTTTGTTCCTGCTATTTCACGCAAAGGAAAGTTGTTAAAAGCTATCAACTATGGCTCCAAGAATCAGCCCGTCAAGTGTCAAGGGTACGCCCCACGAAGGCAATACCTGAAAGTATGAAACATAAGCTCGAGGCAGCAAAGGAGTGTTTGCTTCCTATATTCTGGGAATCCTCGTTCTTTCTCAACCCAGTACTGAATATGTGTGCCGCATATGTCCTGTCTGGAAACTATCGCACTTCCCTGTTATTTTGTTGTGTAGCCTCCTCTTAGCAGCTTCATGCAGCTTCTTTCGATTGGTGTGGAACAAGGAATCAGCCAGATACACAACATTCTTGGCTGGCTTTCCTTAGTTGAATCTTATCATGAAGCATATCAAACATCACCCCCCAAAAAAGAATGAAATGCGATCCCCTCACAAAGGCCCACACCACTGGAACAAAAACTCAAGCTATGTACTGTAAATCTGGTGACGATGTTAGATTAGATCCCTGGCACAAAAAGAGCACAATTGAAATTCAAGAGCAGTTGGAAGTGCTCTCATGGACTCTGAAGCTGACGTCTCCAATTCAACTGGACTCAATCCCCATTCCATTTCCCACGTCATTAAGGATATCTGGTGTTTCTGGTGTTTCCGGGCAATGGAACCAATTCAAATTCCCACATTCACCCCAAAATGGCAATCTGTTCATCCGTTTTGGGGCTCCAATGTCCCTTTCGTCAATTCCCCTTGGATGGACAAGTTTACAAAGCAAAGGATTGGACGATGCGCAAGTTTGACATCTGTTCATTAGACTTTCAGGGAGGGGCACTTGATCGATCATTGGTGCAATGTTCAGGAGCCAACGCCCATCAACATGTAATCGCATCAGCTTCTGATCAGCTGGACTGCGGGGATGTCAGGCTCAGAATGGATCGACCCACACCAAACGCTGCAAGCCCAAAACCCCCGATTGACCCGTGGTGAGCCGGTATAGTAGACCTCACTGAACAAAATATGCACATGCATGCACATGTATAATATATAAACAAAATTAAGAACTGAATTGCGACCACATGTAGGAAAAAGCCAAGCCTTGATGCCTTTAGACCTTTCGGCCAAGCCTTGAAGCATCATTAAGGTGCAAATGGGCATCCAAGAGATTGAACTTTGAACATGATCGAAGCAACATAACTATATTTACATACCTCTTCTGGAATATCCATGCATTCTTTGTCAGCTGCGCTCTCAGCAACCCTTGCTGAGTGCTCACGCCAACTCCAATCTGTTAAAGCCAGTCGTAGAGTTGAAAATGGACCTGCAAAATGGCCAGTCGTGTGGTCCTCGCCCTTTTGTTCTTTCACTAAAACCATGGAAAATGACCTATAGGATCCTATAGGTCTTTTTCACCAAGCTGGGCCTTCGTTTCGGAACGGCATACCACAAGACCTCTCAAACCAGACCGCCAAACCATCAGCTTACTGCCGCTGTCAAAGGGCTATGTGTTCCGCTCTCGTCGGAGTTCGGAGACCTCTGAAAGTAATCGCAGCGGGGCAAAGATTCGTCTGCCTCGGACATTGAAATTTTGTTGGGATTTCTTATTTTTTTTGGGGGGGGCCGAGCACTGGGTAGTTTTTGATATTAACTTGACACACACCAAAAATGAACTACGTAGCACCCTTGCTACCATGAAAAAAATAGAAAATGACTCGAAAAGGTCAAAAAAAATAGAACAAATAGCAAACAAGTCAACAAAAATGTTAGTTAAAAAAGTCGGATCTGGGCCAATCGACTTTTGTTTGACTTCTTTTTTTGACTTTCTGAAACTTTCTGAATTGACCATTTTTTTGACTTTGACTTTTGGCACCGACTACTACGTTGACTTTTTGTTGATGTTTTATAAAGCTTTGCCTTTTCACGACGGCCAGCGACCAACGCGGTCGCTTCTCCGATGTTCGGGTGAACCGCCGCCTCTTCCGCAAGCCGCTGTCCACCACAGAGGTCACTCCTCTGTTTGGGCTGAAACAAATGCAGTTTGTAGCAAACAAGGACAGAAATGGCCTTGAATTCTGAGCCTGATCAAGCACTGTTGTTCAGCAAAATGCTGGGGCTTATTCCTGTTGAATATCCTAATTTAAGATTCCAGATGAGCATTCTCAGATTTGAGGATTTAAGGTCGTATATTCTGAAATAATGTAAAGCTCTCTTAAACCACAGTTCTCCACTCACGTGAGTGCGGCTCTAGCATGGACCAAGGCAACCAAAATTAAGGTCTTAATGCTGCGGCACTCTGCTTCAAATGTGAGCTCGCCACATCTCAGATATCAGCCAATGATTCCAAAAAACACCCAGACATGCTAAAGAAGTACAAACATCTCCATGTATCAAGAACTAAGGGAACCAACACGCCACGTGCCGGCACGTTGGCGCCGGCGGCGCCGCCTGACACCGTGATGGAGGCCTCGGCGACGTTCGTGGCCAGAATCACACGGCGCCTCACAGCCGCGGGAGCCTTCTGGCAGCCGCCGGGGAAAAGTTTGGGGAAGATTTTGAGTAGTAATAGTATATAGTCTACGTGAAGAGGAGACTACTCTGAGCCTCTGAGCAATCTAAAAATGAATATATGAGCAAATTAAATGCTTCTTTGAAGTCTCAAGAAATGACCGTCCCGGGCCGAATCCGGCACCTTCCGGGCTCACCCGGCTGCACCGCCAGATCCTGAGCCTCACAGGGTGCAAAAATCCACGGAGATGCTGACCCCATACGCTCCATGGGAACTGGGGTCAATGAATTTGAACAAAATCCGTACTTGGGTATGGACAAATGCATCCCTTCAAGGTGGTTCAAAGGTCTTGCTCTCTGGTTTCAAAGACTTCGAGAAGCAAAAGCGCTACTCTCCTGTAGTGTTTGTGCAAGGCTATTATGCAAGTATATGCATTATGTCCATTTGGTGTTTGTGGGTTTCTGTTGTTCCCTGACCAAAGCGGCTGCATCCTTGTCAGCGGTCATCGACTTGGTAGTTACCTAAAACATCTGAGAACCATCTGTCAATGTTGGAGGTGTAGTGGAGACTCTGCTTTTCAGCCCCATACCCATAACCCATTTGTGAAAAAGGTTCTTCTACGTGTTTCCGCCTCATGTTTTGACTTTGCACGCGCAAAGCATGTGAGTTCCGTCTCGAACCCGGCCTCTGCATCTAAGGATCCATGCAACGGCAACACATCAATCGGTTGAGACCTGGGAAGACGTGCTCCGAATCACCATGTGAGCAATAATTGTACGTTATCGTATCTTGTGTGATTTCATTCCATATTCCTGCCAAGGTAAGACAAACTCCGAACTGCTATATATTCCTGAAGTTGACCTCTTCTCATATGATTCAAAAGTAAAGATTTTGCGGAAGTATGGCCACCGTTGTGGCAGCTGCAGTCTCGACCCATTTTCACCCACGAGCGCACTCCCCGGATGTTCGGAGAGAGCGCCAAGCCCGTTCCCTCTGTTCGGATGCTCCGGCGAGGTGCGCGGCAGCGGAGGCTGGGGCCTAGTCCGGTCTTTGACAAAGTTAAACAAGAAATGCATCTTGCTACTAATAGCATGCACCTACTACTAATAGCGATGCCCTTGCTACTAGTAGCTTCTTGCTACTAGTACGTAGCGATGGGGGTGACAAAGTGATACAGTATCTTGATCTACTCAGCAAGTCCGCCTGACTAGTTTCGGCAGGGTGCACCCTGCTTACACTTTGAGGTTTTCGACGTTGGATATCAAGCAGTGTCGAACGTTACAATGGTGGATGCCGTTGATAAAGACCATTCTTCGATCAGGACAAATATCTATAGTAGCCTATTTATGGTATCATGATGTATCATGGATTTGATCATGGATTTGGGTCTTATAGGTTCATAGACTGTCGATGATAGAGTCTATGACATCAAGAAGTACAAAGCATTGCTGGCATCCAGTCGCCACATACTGCGGGGTGTTATGATGTAGGGTAACATCGGAAGGTGGCCCAAGTGCTTGCCGGTGCCTCAAAAACATCTCTAAAGGCCCGTGAACTGCACACAGAAAAGCCATTGCGCTAGTTTGGGGAGAGTTATATGGTCCAAGCGGTCCAATTATATAATGAGCTCCAATCGACTCGAAATGGATGCTCAAAATTCACCTTCCAAACGCGAAACGGCTCCGATCTGGAATGATGCAGGTCGGGCCTCACCAAAGCCCCGTGTCGGTCGAGGCTTTGCGACCTACCACGGGTCCGATCGAAGGATGAACACATTTGGGAGGGAAGAAATATGTTATCTTGGCAGAACGAAGAAATGATTCTCGGCCTTTTACTCACTTCGCCATTGAATCATTCTTACCATATTTTTCCTCTAGACTCTATATATAAGCAGGTCGTCCACTTCCATGTTCGTGACTCGGAGGTGAACAATCAACTTTAGTGCTGTTGTGTTGACAACAATGAACATGAGTGTGACACGACGGTTTTCACGCCGCTCAAGCGCATGACACCCAGGACCGGAGCGCCTTGCGGGACAAACGGCTGAACTGCTCCTGGCGGCTGAACTGCTACGGGCAGTCAGTCCTACCCCGAAGACTCAAACGGTCAAACGGAGGCAGCAGAGGTATTTTTGTACATTGGTCGACCCGCATGCTCGAAAGGATCATTGTGGCGGCACTTAGAGGGTATGGGTTCCTGTGGTGTCTATCTGCCAGGCTGCGGGGTTCTTGATTTTCCACCCGGAGCAGCTGCATACACGGTGGGATGCTGCAAACCGTGTTGGACCATTCTTTGGGGGCATGACCCATTCATTAGCTGACTTTAGAGCGAAGTCAATACCGTTGAGGTCACATGACATGAACTTCCAGTTCATCCGTTGATGAACGAAAACATGGGGCGAGGAGTCCAGCACATGGGCCAACCACAAGGGGCAGCGAGAAACCCGGGGTGTCCCGTGAAACAATGTGAAGCCCGGGGTCTCTGTGAATCCGCAGTCCGAGGACCACGGGCGGTTCATCCCAATGTTATAGGTGTTGATTTTGACATCCACCCACTGCATCATATCCAACTCTGAAAACCCCTAAGCAAAGTCTGCGACGTGAATCAGGTAGTGACTCGTGACATGATTGGGTGCCCAACAGTGGCTCTACAACTTAAGCTGGCCACTATCCCCGGAGATTCCGGTATAGCCAGATTCAGCAAGTCAAGAAACATTTTTATGTCTGGCAAAATGTGCTCGTTTCTGTTGAGATTGCTCTGTTTGCTTGCATGCTTTCGCTCATTTCACAGATCTGACTGACCTCGAACGCGAAAAGTCGTGTTAAGGCCTCCAAAAGCTTCTGGCAGCGCCGAATCCTGGGCATCTGATCTCATCCGTCCAACGACTCCGACTCCGAGCAACTCGGCGTAGTCACGGCTTCTGGACGACATGAAGAGTCCACAGAACCTGATGAATCCATTGGGCTCCATCTGGTTGGGCTGATCGGTCGATCAACACGTCTTTGACCATGTCGCTCTGGTCATGTCATTCTTACTGACCTTGCATGAAACTGCAATCACACTGCCTACATCATCCAGCCGATTGCTCGGACTTTGCCCATGTGGTGTATCATTCAGTCTGGTCCCCCACAACACAACCTCATCATCTTTTCGAGTGAACAGCAGGACTCATGGACCGACCGAACGGTCGTCCGCTTGCCATCCAGCCACTCAGGCTCGCCCGGAAGGAAGCACAGAACGTCTCCTGCCATTTTGTATCGCCACGGAAAGGTACCCTTGATTCCCCCAGTCCAGAAGCATGAGCCCTTAAGTCAAAACTACATAGTATGTGAATATTAACTATTATATGTGATGATTGTAATATATATATAATATATACAATAGTATTATACAAATAGAATTATATATAAATATATAGTTTTTAAGTAATACAGTATATGATAATAGTCCACAGAGTTTGTTTCAGTTGGGCGTTGCGGCGTTGCCCGATCTTGCGGTGCAGGGTGACGAAACACCGACCTTGCAGGGATGTTCCATCTCTCGTGGCGCGCTGCCCAACAAGGGATCGACTTGGGGATGCTATTGGGATGCCATTGCTGTATATTGCTGTCAGGGTCTAATTTGCGACCGATATAAGGATCACGGATAAGGGACCCACAAGCCCTTGAAGCATCACGAGTCTTCATAAGGCCCTTGCATCAAACATGTGTTTTCCTCGCAAAATAATGATGAACATGTGACCAACTTCAGTGACTGGAAAGTCCCTGCATGGTTTCAGTGGTGTTCTCCTTTTTCTCATGTTTATTGTCGTGTTTCATCTACTTCAAGATCTCGCCTTCCCAGGAGTTCCTTGTTCGACAATGAACTGAGTGTAATGACCCATGGCTCAAAAATGACAACTCCAAGGACCAAAATCATCCGATGTCTCATCTAATTAAGCTAGTAGCACGTTCCAGCGTGAACTACCGGACCAAATCCGCATAGCGGCATCCTGTGCATCCCCGTGGTGAGGAAACTCCTGGAATACCGTGGCTAAGAAGCACGGGTCAAAGCAGTGCACATGTACCTTCAAGTAAACACCAACCACAAAGAAACAGTGCAGTGTTTTTGTTTAGCAAAGTGAATTTATGGGGCGCAGCTGCTTATTTACAACATTGTGTTGCTCTGCAGAAACCATGCCATCAAGGTTGAGTGACTTTGTGATCACCAAACCAATCATGAGTGTGCATTGCATTCACTCCCAAAAAGTCATGATGAAGACAAGACGACTAACCTCTGCCAGTGCTTCAACACAGTCCAAACGCTGGGACATCCAACCACCGCAGTTCCACACCAATCCTGGTTCTTCATTCGAAGAAGCTCTCCACTGAAGTGCCTCAACAACGATGCGCAACGATGCTGCGAGGCGTCCTTTGGCGTCCTTCGGGGGGAGGCAAATTCATGGGTTCGCTATGTGTTTCGTTCGAGTGCTTCAAAAAAAGTGCATGCGTTGATAGGTTTTGTGCGTTCAATCTGCCAGTTGCCCAAAGGAAGAGCAAAGGCATAGAAACGTTTCTTGGGATGCATTGTTATGTTGGCTCTTCATGGAATGGGATGAGAATATGTCAGCTGGACGACCAACGATATTTCTGAGAGCACACACTACTACTGAACAACAAGTGTCCAAACAATTACCTGGACCCAAATTAACTCGAATCTCCGCAGCATCTGCAGGTCAACTATACATTCATCAGTCACGTTCGATCAAACATACCTCTCCGCACTCCTCCTAATGAATCCTGCCAACCATTGAGGTTCTGTCCAAAGCAACAGCTACAAATGCCACAGGACCAGGCCTCAGCAACAAACAGCAACCACCGGGTCCTTCGTCTCACATAGACGTCGGAACGTCCGAAGCGACCCCCGCCTCAGTGGCGGCCACGCAGACCTTCTTGGCCAGCTCAGCCTCGATTTCGCCAAGAGACCAGCGGCATTGCAGTGAAGATGCATGACAACTACCGTACGGCTTAGAAACAGAACCCCGGGCCTGCTGAAAGTCAATGAACTGCCGCTTGGTGTCTTAATGAAAAGGGTAGTGGTGGGTATTTAATGGAGGTTGAAATTGGTGGACACACTCCCGATTGGTTGCTTTCCATTCGTTTTGAGAACGACATGTTTTTTTTGGCGAGAGTGTCTTTCACCCAGTTGGACCAAGAACTCCTATCACAGTGTTTTTTGTTGTTTGCTTTGTTCTGCCAGCACGCAGTGCTTTCACTTGAGGCGACGGAGGTGGACGAAAGGTAGAGGTTGGAAGATTCTGAGCAGGAGCAAGCAGCCAGCAGCAGCAGCAAAGCAAAAAGGTAGCGCCAGCACCAGCAGCGGCGGCGGCGGCAGCAGTGCAGCAACAGCAAAGCAGCAGCTGCAGCACATCAAAGCAGAAAGCAGCAGTAGCAGTAGCAGTGGCAGCAGCAGCGGCTGCAACAACAGCAGCAGCAAAGCAAAGCACCAAAGTTCACACAAGTTTGCCGCCTCCACAACCCTTGGTTTTCGTACAGTTTTTGTGCATACGAAATTGAAAAAGGGTGGAGACTTGTCATGGTCGAGGGCAGAGACAGAAAGCACCAACAGTGCCCGCCCCGAAAGCCCCAACACAGGCAATGCACAACCACCCCACCAACAGCAGCCAGCAAAGCAGGAGCAGCCTGTAGGATTCAAGCAACAGCAGGAAGTAGCAACAGCAACAGCAGCAACAGCCAAACAGCAGCAGCAACCAGCAGGATCATCAGCAGCAGCAGCAACCAGCAACAACCAGCAGCAGCAGCAACCACGAACCACCAGTAGCAGCAGCAGCAGCAGCAAGCAGTGGCAGTAGTAGAAGCAGCAGCAGCAGCAAGCAGCAGCAGCGACCAGCCGCAACGAGCAGCAGCAGCAGCAACAACAACAGCGGCAGCAACAGCAGCAGCAACCAGCGGAAACGACCAGCGGCAACGAGCAGCAGCAACAGCAGCAACCAGCAGCAACCAGCAACCAGCACCAGCGACAGCAGCAAGCAACAAGCAACAAGTAGCACAGCAGCAAGCAGTACAGGAAGGAGCAGCAAGCAGCACAGCAAGCAGCAACCAGCAGCAAGCAGCAACAAGCAGCAGCCGCCAGCAATAGACCACAGATTTTCATAGACCACAGTCGATAAGCCAGATTAAATTCTGAGCGGCGCAGGGTGGAGTCGAATGGGGGGCCTCCCCCCAAGCATTTAAAACCAAAATTAAAAAACATCGAAATCAAGCGCAGGAGCCCTCCACCAACCCCTAATATCATATCGCTAAAGCAAAGAGAACTCAGGTAGCCGAGGCTACCCTTCGTGATGAGGATCAAAGTAGCAATATGATATAACAAATGGAACTACTACCAGCAAAGGGCACACACCATCTTCAAATTCCACACAGCCAAAGCTGATACCCTGAACAGAGTCCAATTGTCGCACAACAGCCACCCTCTTGAAGAACAATCACTTGCAAGACATGTGCCCGCTGTTAAAGTAAGCTTCGTACATCCCAGCCGGAGCATCCCAGCCCAGCGCCTTAGTCTCGAAGCCCTTGGTCGCACGCAGGAGGCTGCGGCTGTCGGAGGCGTGCCGGAGCTGGACATGGTACCTGGGACCATCCAACGCAACATGACGTGCAATACCACGTAGCTGGGACCGTTGGAACTCTCCGGTCTCATCCGTGGGTAGTACCATACAAAAAAGCGCGACGCTGTGGTTGGGCGCGCCTGCAAGGATGCAAAACACAAGCAGACTATTGTTTTTTCTGAGAAATCATTGCCACAGCCAACTGGAATCTTTTTCGATGTCCAGGCATTCGGATGGCGGGCAACCCAATTGTTGAGTCACGCTTTAAGCGGTATACTCTTTGAAAGCTTGCAACACTGTATTCAGTCCAGGTTGCGACAACAATCTATAGAACAGCGAATTGGTTCACGTGTGCATTGCAGGACTCATCGGTCCTAAAAGGTTTCGTCGCCGCAGTTGATTCTTGGTTCTCGATATCTCTGATTCTGCAAGATTGTCTCCGCCCACGTATTGCACACTTTTGGACTTGAAGAAAGCAGCTGGTCTTTTGCATGCGGCCAATTTCTTTCTTGGCAGTAGCCAATTGTTTGGCAGTGAGACTTGTGCATTTGAAAGATTGCGCCGGAGTCATTTCATCCAGGTTGTGTCTTGCAGCTGCCACAGGCATCTTGTGTTTGCAAATGTTGAAGCAAAGCCTCTCCGGAATCTGAAGCTGCTAGGCATGATTCCTTGTCAACTCTTCGCAGGCCTTTCTGGACCTCAACCTTCACGGGTCAAGAACCTCCACCTTCACGGGTCCAAGAACCTCCACCTTCACGTGTCAAAGCAGAGAAATTAACATGCAAACGTAAACAGGAAACAAAAGAGAGATGGAGCGCAAAACGGGAGAGGAAAAAAGATACAAGAACGCAAGCATCTTGTGCGAGACAACGCAAAATGTGAAAGGAAAAAGAGAAAAGAACGCAAGCATCTTGCCCCCCCCAAGCCCCCCGTGTGCGAGACAACGCAACACGTGAGAGGAAAAAGCAGACAAGAACGCAAGCATCTTGAACCCCCAACATCGTGTATGTGGCCAAAACATTGGCGGCAGTGTGTCCAAAATGAGCAACAGCAAAGAGTCTATTCATGTTGACGCAACACAAACATCATTTCGTGTGGCAGGCGTGGGAGAAAATACATTTCCAAGAGGAGGAAACGAGATATGCATTTCGCGTGGCAGGGGTGGAACGAAATAGACATAAAATCGTAATTACAAGGGGGTTTATGTTAGACAAGTTGCATCGAACCAGGACGTCGGAGCCAAAAACAAACACAGAAGTTTCGTCCGGATCGATTGGTGAGGTACTTGGGGTTTGGGGTTTTTTGTTACGGTGAAGTACTACTGGAGTCTTTCGCGACGGGCAATTCAAGGGGGGGTTGCTGCAACGGCACAGAGGGGTTTATTGCTTCGGCCACAGGGGTCTTTTGCGATGGTAATCTCCTGCTCCTGCTCCTCCTCCTCCTCCCCCGTCCTCCTCCTCCTCCTCCCCCGTCTCCTCCTCCTCCTCTCCCTTCTCTTCCTCCTCCTCCTCCTCCTCATCCTTCTCCTTTCCTTCCCCCCCCTCTTCTCGTACTCCTCCACCTGTCCTGCTCCTCATTGTGCTCTTCCTGCTTTTCCTCTCTTCCTTTTTATCCTCCGTTCCTCCTCATTCTTCTTTTACTCTGTCCCCTTGTCCTTTTTTCCTCGAAGATCATTGGGCAAGCCTTGAGAGTTCCCGCGCAAGACATGTCTTCAAGATCTCTATCCACGTCGGAGTTTCCACGGAAGACCTCTGTTCAAGATCTCTATCCATGACGACTCGGCAAGACTCTACAAAGAGATTGGTCAGCGTCTCTTGGCCTTAATAGGTGGTAATGAGAGCTTCTCTGTGTGTGGGACCCAACTCCGCGACCGTCTAGCTTGCGAACTATATCACGTCTTGCGAGGGGAGGCGCTGCGCTCCTGCACCCCCCCTCCCGATTTTTGTTTTAAAGTATCCCACCTGCGTGACCACCTGTAGCTCTGCGACTGTGTCAAAACTCCAAGCTATGTCACGCCCTGCGGGGGGGAGGGACGTTGCGCCCTCCCTGCACACCCCTCCCGATTTTCTTACGCACGCGACGCTCAAAGATAGGTAACGCTCTGTGTGTGGGACACAGCTCCGCGACCACCTATTGCTCCGCGACCAGGGCTCAGCATCCCACTGTGCATGGTCCACAGTGTTGGTGGCAATGCAGGCGCAGGGCTTTGCACCCAAATCTCGAGCTGTCGTGCCAATCGGTTGATTCGCGCTCGCCTGCAAGTGCGACAATTGGTTCCTGCAAACACATTTTTGACACAACCTGCTGTGATGCTGCGGGTGCAAAAAAACACCGGTGAACTGTTCAAAAAAACAGTATTAGCGGGCACCGTCGCAAAAAGAAACACCGTTGAACCGACAAACAAAACACACACCCTCAGTGGATACTGTCGCAAAAAAACCTTGGGTTTTGTTCAGAAATGTTACAGGAATGTTCCAACCGTTTGAACAAAACCCCAGTATTACTGTCGCAAAAGCCCGCTTGGAAAATACAGTAAACCTGCGGGGGGCCCCTTTAAAAAACGATTATCCTTTGAACATATATAGTTTTGGATGATGTTGGAGCATAGAAGTTTTGGGGAGAACCTTGCAACGAACACAACCCCCACTGAGACCAGCATCTCTCCTGTCGATTTTTGCAGCCTGTGGTCTGGAAGGGTTCGACCGAACGTGACGCAGGACAGTGGCAGCCTGCACTTCCACACGCCGCCGCGCCAAACGAGCACCAGAAGGCACACACAACAAACGTTGTCAACAACAAACGTCCACATCCACGGCCGTTATATGGACAACACAGAAGAAAACTGTCTTTGCGCAAACCACTGATTTTCCCAGCGCCACTTGGCTGATTTGCTCTTGCTCTTCCATGCGAGCCGCTCTAAAACAAGCAACACTTAACATGAACCGTTTGTTTCATTGTAACACAAATGATCAAATGATCAACTGATTAGAGACACACTGCACACGATGTTGGGCATCTCGTCGAGACTTGCTTTGGCGGTTGCTTTGCGCTTAGCAGTCGTGTGCTCGCGAAAGCACAGGTCTTGGAGCTTGTGCGAAGCCCTAGAATTCTGACCTAGACAACCAGCCAGTGCTTCTGTAAAGCTATACCGCATAGGCCTATGACTATAACAAATCGGTGCATCAACGTGAGTGTAAAGGTGAATAAACCATGCAATATGCAAACCATCAAGCCGGTTACAACGTTGCTTTCAGCTTTTCCACGCTCGGCAGTTTGTCGAAATGCAGCTGTTCCCCAGGAAAATCAAACATAGGGCACAAGAATCCCCCGCCATGCATTCCTGAAGGCATGCCCACCTTGTAGTATATAGACGTACTTCTTCCAGCAAGGATCAACAACAAGGAGTGTATAAATATATAAAAATATATATTGTATACAAAGAGAAACCATTCTTTGTCACGATCAAACTAACCGTCGATCGGTCGAAACGGGGTCGTCTGGGCTCCCCCGGCTCACGGCCCTCCGAGCGCACCACCCGTGCGCCGCCCAGCAGCCCCGAGAGCCTGCCGACTGGAGCGAAGGGAGTTGGGTCAACGGAGTTCTTGAACCTCCCGAAAGGTCGCTGACAAATAAAATATCTTTTGGGAACATCAACAAAATCATAAGATGTCATCCGACATGAGTAATTCAACACATGAAGGCTTCATGCACAAATCAGACACACAAATTGGGCACAACATGCAGTTCAAAACCTTGCATGGCAGGGCTGAGGGTACCTCCCTGGAATCTTCATGGAAGTGGAAAGCCAACGTAGAGGAACATGGTCATCCAAGGGGGTCCATGCCATCCACTTCCTTGATACTTCCAGGGAGTGTATTGTTTCCAGTCCGTTGTTCTTTAATGTTCTTTCACTGCCATTGCACTTGGCGATTCAAAATTTTTGGGACACCCCCACCTGCTGGCTAGGCGATCGCTCAAAGTGGCACCTCGCGAGCCAGTTCTGATTCACGTAAGGTCAAGAAAACGCCGGCAACGAATTGTACCAGGATTCGTACCAGGATAATTACCAGCTTGTTGTTTTCCAGACGCATCCAACCATGCAAATGATATGAGTTTTCTTTATTGTGACTCGTTGATCTTCATCCGGAATGTCAATATGTTCACAGGGGTTGGACTGAGGCTCACCTCGCCGATCCATTGAAGGCACAAATCGATGGGTCGGCATCTCCAAACCCCCCACGTATCCAAATCCGCTGAAAGCAAAGTCCCAAACACACCATATCCAAAACGCACCACTCAACCGCATGTGTGTATCCAAATCACCAAACAAAGTGTGTGCATGTCCGGTTCTACATATCTAGGCCATTTTCGCCCCTATAGGTAGCTCAGCTCACCTGCAAAATGCACGGCAAATAAAACCTTGCCCAGGAGCTCATTGCCACAAGCCGCAAGTCCGGCAGCCCTTTGTGACGCCTCAAACAAAGGCATTCAAGGAGAACATGGAAGTGAACATGAACCAACATGACGACAGGAAGGATGATTGTGTAAGTGTGTGTGTGTGTGTGTTTCTGTTGAAAGGCCAAAGTGCAGTCATGGATAACCTCTCATTTTCCCATGTGTGTTTTTGTGGGTATCCCCATTCTAAGACACACTGGCACATAATTTGGTGAGAATTGGAATCCAACATGGCTCTTTATCATGTCAAATAATATTCTTTGTGTTACCCAAGAGAACAAGTGGTCATGTAGAAATTACCTTCATTACAATTTATTAGTTTGATGCGGATCAACAAGGAAGCAAACAGGCTACTCTCAAATATTTCCAGATATATATATCCAGTATTGCGCAGCATTGGATGTCTACATTGTACAATATTGTATCCAAACACCTGCGCCTGCCAATCTATGGTGTTTTTAACTTGGGAAAGAACATTGCACCGGACAAAAAAAAAACTTGATTGACGTTTGGTCAATCCTCCTAGTATGGTTCCTAGCTGTGCAACCCCTCGCATAAAAATGGGTTTCTGCCCTACTTTGTTTCATAGGAATTATGGAACAGTTCACGGTTGCTCATCCCCATGCACATGTCTAAGCCGAGTCTTAGACTCTCTAGCCGCCTCTCGTTTGGACGATTTGAGCACCAATATCAGGGCGTACTGGTGATGACGTCTATATGTTTGACTTAATCTTGTGGAGCCCTAAACTAAATGACGAAGGTGTCCAAACACATTGGATATCGCTTGAAACATCTAGTCTGTACCCAAACTACAAGCCAGCCCCCCTGCTTCCTTAGCATCATGATAAAAGAGATACTGTATATACATATATATATATGCATTGTATATATATATATAGCTGTGAAAAATAGTTGCTTCCACAGCATCATGCTTTCTCCCGTCACAATCAATTTGGGCAACCCCTGCTCTGTACGAAGCAAGTTCATCTCTTCCGACCCCCCTTCTCTCTACGAGCGCCTGGCTTCTTGTGCATGAAGGATCAAAGTGAAGGCCTAGGAGGCCAGTTTGTTCACATGACTCCCCTGCGCTCGTTTGGCCATCGCTTTTGACCAAGAGACAATATCATTTCCCAGGCTTCGCTCGTGGAACCTCAGAGATCCCAGGCAGAAAATCTATACATCCTACGCTTAACAGTCGGTCGACTTACTTCAATTTAACTTGTTCCCCACATTGACGTGTGTTTTTTTGTTCTTTGTGTGGTATCCGCTCCTTGTTCCTCCTCCTCCCGCCTCTCGCTTCTCACCAACCACTCACCAAAAAATGTCACCAACCAACCAATTGTCACCAACCAATTGTTAACCACAAATTTTCACCAACCAATTGTCACCAACCAATTGTCACCAACCAAGTGTCATCAACCAAGTGTCATCAACCAATTGTCATCAACCAATTGTCATGTCATCACTTGTCATCAACCACCTGCCATCCACGAATTGTCACCACCCAATTGTCATCAACCGATGATTTGCTTGCCAATTGTCTTCTCCAGGGGGTCGGATGTACGCCCTGGCGCTGGCTGGCGCTGGCTGGTGCTGGTGGGTCTCCGCCGCTGTGCCGCTGTGATTTGCGTGCGTGGTGTTCAAAAACACTGTGTTTTATAGGGCTTTGGAAGATCCAAAATTTGGACAGTGTGCAAACTGTGGGTTTTACAAGGGTGGTGTCGGTAATGCGCACCGCGCGGACGTGCATAATCAGATCTTTTTGGGTGATGGGCCCGTGTCAACGCAAATGGCGCAAAGTGCACCCCAAGATGAGCCAACAGAGGCCCCAAGATAGGTCCAAGATGGGTTAACATAGCCCCAAGATGGGCCAACATAGGTCCAAGATCTCTCGCCTCCCGCTTGCCACAAACCAATTGCCACCAACTAATTGTCACCAACCAATTGCCACCAACTAATTGTCACCAACCAATTGTCATCAACCGATTGTCATCAACCAATCGTCACCAACCAACTGTCACCAACAAATTGTCACCAACAAATTGCCACCCACCAATTGTCACCAACCAACTGCCACCAACTAATTGTCACCAACCAATTGTCACCAACCGATTGTCAACAACAAACAAGTTTCCACCATCCAATTGTCACCAACCAATTGTCATGAACTAATTGTCGCCAACCAATTGTCATCAACCAATTGTCTTCTCCAGGGGATCGGGCCCGGTGCTGGCTGGTGCTGGCCGGTGCTGGTGGGTCTCTTCCCCTTCTGAAAGGGTTATGTTTGAGGCGCTGTTTTTTTTAAACATGGTCCTCCACCAATTGTCATCAATCAATTGTCACACCAACCAATTGCCACCCACCAATTGTCACCAACCACCTACGCAGACATTCTCTCTTGCTAAGTTGCTAACACGTGGGGTTATCCGGTCCTATAATTTTGATCTCTTAACAGGCTAGTATCCTAACTCAAAACCTTTCACAAAGGATCCAGTTACCAAATCTCAATCTACACAGGAGCTGTCGGGGAGCCCTTAAGAACAATTGTTATGTTCAATGTTCGCTAAGTTCAGTTTGGTAACAAGCTTGTGATATGAACAATAGGTTATCGGTTATTAGGTGATCAATGGTTTTCATAGGTTCATGGTTGTCGTCTAACTGCAGTTGGTGCTCGTTGGAATAGTTTGGTCATGTAGTAGTTTGTATGTTCTGGCACCTCTACTCAAGCTCGGGTTTCTCACTGGGAACCTTGTTCCCTTGCATGCTTTTCTCTTGGTGCCGTGAGTCCTTTACAGCCTCTATAGTGATACACTTCGGTCTCCTTACGATCGAACTAGGGCACCCTGCGCCACCAAACCTTTGCACTATAGTTGCCGTTTTGCTGTATTTTCTTACTGAGAGCCGGGGTTTTGCAGCTCTTCGTCTCACCTCACCTTCCTCCTGTTTCGCCTGAAGTTCTTCAGTTTCCTCGTCTTCCTTTCAGCAACACTGGGTCTGACCCTCGTCCGCGCTTCTACGGGAAAAACATTGGGACCAAGTGGGCAACATGAGAATCCAGTGATGAGGTTTTGTTGTGAGCCTGCACTGTGTGCTGATGGAAATGAGGCAACAAACTGACAGGATTGCTTCATGCTAAGACGACAGCCGCAGGGAGAACTCCACAGATCCAAGTGACTCATCGAAAAGCACAGCGGAGGTCTTGGGCAAAGCACCGTCGGCCTGCGCGAGAACTATGAATCAATCGGGTTTGGAAGTTACCACCAACAACTCGCGAATCCATCATGTACCTGAGCACAACCTGAAACCACATCTTGTGTGGGTGCGGGAAGAGAACATGTGTTGGGGTTGTAGGTACCGAACACCGGGACCATCCAGGAATGAAGTGTGCAAACATGTGCAAACAACCAGATGCGTCTGGTAGAAAATGCCACCGGTCATACCAAATCCACCGAAAACGATACAAAACATATCAAAACAACGAAACAATTCCAGCACCACAGGGTGGTTTATACACCCCCCTGAAGAAGCTGAAGATGTATTTTCTATCAGATCATCCAAGCCATTTGTGCCAGGTGATCCCACCCACCCCTCCGAGCACTGAGTACGGGCGCGCCACAAAAAAGACGGCCCGGTGTTCGGAAAGGGTCCGGATGCAATAGTTTTCATGATTCAAATGGATTATGTTAAGGGAATCTCACAGGAAACCGTGGTATTCACTGTATTCAGCCCCAAAACTATTGGTTTCCCGTAAGTTGTCCCTTAAACCAAATCTGAGAATGAAACACAAAATCAAAGATCATGGTGCCACACAGCCCCATCAAGACGCGAGAAATGATCCCCGCTGAAACATTTGTGAAAACCTTTGCCAACTATAGTAGTAACAAGTGCATCGCTAGTAGTAACAGGTGCCTTACTAGTAGTAACAAGAAGCTAGTAGTAACAAGTGCCTTACTAGTAGTAACAAGAAGCGAACGTAGAAACAATAAGCTATTGTGACCGTCAGAGATCCGTTGATTATAGGAACAATGCTCGCTACTAGGGGCTCCTGGCATCGCTACTAGGAGCAAGGACGCTACTAGGGGCTTCTGGCCGTACCACTAGGAGCAAGTAGCTACTAGGAACAAGAAGCTACAAAGGTGGACTCTAGATGATTTATGGATATACCTGGTACATCCTGGTACTGTCTTCCACTGTATACTACTCCGACCCTACCCTGGGACCCTACCCTACCGGAATGTCAAGGGGTGCTTACAAAGCGATGACTCTTGAGCCAGTGGAAACCCACATCACAGCAGGTTGACATCGTCAACCAGAGTTGCGGGTTTTATGAACAGCATACTGCAATCTCAATTGGCCCATCTATCGCGAAGCACCTCATATCATATCGTTCTTTCATCTGAAGTTCAGTGAATTCCTTTGGAGACCTGAATGCTCATCTGATTCAATGGTTGGTGCATGACAACATGGTCGGAGGGAGTCTCACACAACAGGACTTCTTACGAGTACCTTGTGCCCAAGTGTTGATAGTTCCATGGCATCTACTAGAGTTCCAAACAAGCAGGATTCACCATTCGATCTAATCGGACATGAATAATTCTTGGTCTAGTCCCGAGGCATTTTCTCTCCAATGCGATCAGATCTTTGGATTGCACCGCAGCACAAAAACGTGGGGCTACCAAATTCACCAGCTAATTGCACTAAGGTGACAGTCCTCCTTGATGTGTTTTGCCAAATGGGTGTTGTGCAAATGCAGGGACTCCGAAAACAGTGATGTAGAAAGCCCCTCACCTGGCTCTTGAGCAACAAAAACCTTCAATTGGTAGAACTAGCGCACAGCAGCTGGAAAAGGCATTGTTTTCTTGGTTTGTTGATTCAATTCACGAAAAGGCCTGACCAAAAGGTTTGATTTGTTGATTCAAAGGCTTCGGCTTGTTTGTTCACTTTGCAGAAAAACCTCACAAGAACAGGCCCAGCAAAGGTCTGAACATCAAGTGGTCACTGGTCTCACTGGTCCCTTACCACTCCTTTTCATTCAGCCACCATGGCAACATCTCGCGAAGAAGGCATCCAAATCCACCTGCGACAGCGCACAAGGTTAAAACGGCTCCCAGGCGTTCTTCACGCCGAAAGCACATGATGGCAATGGGCCCAGGGCTGCCTCCCCCAAAAGCGCGGGCTGCGCGTGAGCCAACACAGCTCCACATTTCTGGGTGTAACTTCGTCCAGTGCCTCGTGAAGGATTCCTTGCTCCTCCATGGCCAAATGCAGCCAGCAGTCCTGGAAACGACGGTCAAGCTGATCAAACTCTGAGTTTGGATTCTCGAACTTGAGGTGCACGGGGTTGCACGGGGTTGGAGTGCAACACGATGTGAATGTCTGTGAGTCAGAAAACGCCACAAACGCAGCCTGTGGATTCAGGGTCTGTTCTCAAATGCAAATGAAATGGCTATCACAAACGGCCCAGGCCCAGTCTGATCTTCGGGCATCGCACACTGCGTAGGGAGCCGAAACAACCGCTCCAATGCAGGACAAAGAATCAATGAAAAAGGCAACCAAAGAATCAATCAACAAACTCAAAAACCACACTCAGAGAACAAATAATCAAATAAAATCTCACAAAAAAAGACAACAACCACAAATATAACATAATACAACATATAATATATTCAACAAAAAAAACAAGTAGAACATATATATATATGTGTGTATATCATTATATATAAATAAATATAAATGAACCTACCGGAAAATCTATGCATTTGAGAGGTCGTTTGTTTTATTTATGAGGTGTTTTTCTTGGTGTTATCGGTTGAGTCTGGATGTGTCTTGATTTCCGATCCATCCTAGCGCGGGTCCCCTGGGTCCTGATTTCCAAGCGCCCCAAAAGTGTAGGGATCGCAGCATGTTTCCCAACTGCGAAGGCGGCAGCTTAGGCTGAAAAGACATTCTTGGCTTCGGCTCGAACTTAGCATACTAAAAAACCGCGAAGAACTTGGGCTGTTCGTTGTACGCATCACCAGTTGGTCGGTCAGTCTAGCTATTCTCTGCGTGAGCTCGACAGTCTCGACGACAGGAGTGGAGTGCTTGTTCAGTCAAAGGCTCGTGCACCAAGAGCTCATTGCTCCATCACTAGTTTGGTAGTGGATTGGTAGATCTCAGCCACTACTGCAACAACAAGTGCAAAAAGAGTGGCCAATGAAGGGTCAAAGTTTCGCTAAGTGTGTGGTGCCTGTCAGCATCTCATTCCTTTGTATCAACAGTCAAACAGTTCCAGAGCACTGATGGATTCTGGAGTATGAATTGATCATCCTACCTTTCGGAATAAACAGCATGAGCATAAACATCCATCACCCCGATCAATTAGAACCCCCTCTCTTCCACCCCATCCGCACCACGACCTGCGGCCGTTCCCGAAGCAACTGGGATCCTGAGAAAACCGTGAGGCGAGGTGATCCACGATCGGTGGGATTTTACACGGATGTTACCATGGTTCACCACTGTGGGCCACAAACAACATGGAAAACAGAACAACAGGTTGAAAGGACTACAAAACAAATTAGTGGCAGTCAAAAAATATTGTCCACGACGAATTGCGGGACTTTGGCAATGAAACTAGAAGACAAGGACAAAATCACAGCATGCCAAATGTAGAGCGTTGGTATGACAAATTGTTCGAACAATGTCAGTCTTCCAGGAAGGGCTTAGACAATTGACACCACCGACCACAGGATCTTCATGGTCATGGTGTCTGCCTTCCCAAGTAGCTGCAACTAAACAATAAAAACCAACCTCAAAGCTTGCTGGAGGCTGCAAACACCAATCTTCCATACACTCCTCAACTTCATTTTGCCAGGCAACTCAAAACACAACTCGACCTCTAACATCTCTAACCCTCCAAATATTTTAAAACTTCAATCAAGAAACAAACCACTTAAACGTACTGCATATCAAACAATTCCTGCACTCAACCGCCAAACATGTCCTTCGTCCTTCGGCCACCTCCGGAACTTCATGTGACGCGTCTCGCGCTCCCGCCTGCGTCTCCCGCTTGGGCGGCAGATGCATCGGGATCCCGCCCGTCAGGCCGTGCCTCGACCGCAAGTCCGATGGTCGAGTCACTGGGACAAACTGTAAGGCTGGACACTGCTCGAATCTGCTCGATTTCCGCATCAAGCCAGAGTTCACTGTCATTCTAGATGACCGCTACACTGCTTCATCGAACTTGTGGATCACATTACCAAAGCCCCCAGAACACAGTAACCTTTACTTGGAGGTCAATTCTTGGAGATGTGTTGATCTATTTGTCCGTCTGAACGATCACCGACTGCTTGGCGTTTGAAGTCGTCATAAGATCCTCATCCTGCAACTCACAGTAACCTCCGCCTACCTGCAATCATCCAACATAAACACCCCGATCCGCTCGGCTATGTGCTTCTTCAGCAGTGACCAAACCCGATCATTCTTGTACCGAATGTCATTTGATGTCATTTGTATACCTTCTCCCAGTTGCAAATGCAAACAGTTCGCTATGCTTGCGTCTGCACTGAGTTCATTATATAATGCTTGCAGTTGGCAGCAGCCTGCAATGCAATGAACAGATGAAAACCATATGAGCTGCAAGGAGATAGGAAGACGCGAGTGAACGAGCTCAGAACCCAGCAAGGAACCCCCAAGCAACCGGTGACATTTTGTTACCTTACGACGTAATCCTCCTGCAGAGCCTGTGGAAGATTCATGTGGTTCATCAGTGAGCAGCACCAGGACTGGTGGAGGCCGCAGGAGCAGCAGCAGCAGCAGCAACAGCCACCACATCCACATCCAAAAAACAATAGAAATAGGAGGCTCAAAGAAGAGCCAAAGTATTATATACATTGTCATTGTATTATAATATATATATGAACAGGGACAAACACAACAAAGCTAAATGCAACAACGACTTGACTTCAACATCTGACTGTGTTCATTGCATGGTCACTCCTCAGTCAGTAATCATTTGTGGCTGGGGACAAAGTAATGCTTCTCTCATCTTCCTTCAGAAGCAGTTCCAGCTCCGCAAAACGATCTCATAATTGCTGATGTTTGCAGTGGGTGTGGTGTCTGAAGCGATCATCCACAAAACTGTTTCGCTTGCAAAAAGCTCATCATTGTTCGTGGGGGCTGATCCTTATCCCAAAGAGCCCTACCTGAAGCATAAAGGAAACCCAAGTTCCTCCCTTTCC